TTACAAAACATATGGTTTATATTTGCACCTATTTAAATAATGCTTGTGATAGTGGGATCAAAACTACAATTTCATCCATCAATCTACATAAGGCTTGAAAAAGTTTTCTAGTGATATTGCATTCTCATCAACTATTAAAGTGACGCAACACAATCCAATGAGCCTTTAAGTTCTATACCTGAAACAAACAGAACTTTGGAAACGGAATTAAACAACAAAAGTTGATTTGATACTTCTGTACAGTCCGCAAAGCTATGATAAACTGGAAGCTTTTAGTTTATGTTTCTGAAAGGGAAGAATCTAAGTCTCAGTCTTGCTTTTATGATAGTTATGCAAAAATATAGAAGGAAAAGGAAAAAGTAAGCATCTATTTTGGACTATTTCTAAACACTGTCTAAGAATCAATTAACCATGCCTCCAGGGAGCAATGGTACAAACAAGTATAAGTAACAACCACAACTAGGAGGAGCAACTCATTTGTTACGCAAAGCAGTCAGTAAGTAAAACCATGGGTGGCCTTATGATATTACTTCAGCTTTTCTTTGGTTTACTAGTCTACTAAGGTCATAAATGCTAGGAATGATTGTAAAGATATTTCTTCATCATTATTATATTGTGAAGAGCAACTGTATAAGGAAGTCACTAAATGAGGACTATAGATGTATGTCTGTACATGTGAACAAAATAAATGGCAAGTGATGTAAATATGGCACGTGGTGTAAATATAGACAATACTGAACAAACACTTCTGATCAATTTAACTGCAAATCATATGCTTTTATTTCTTCATTTATTAAGGCATAGATGCCATATTGATCTCTGTTCAGACCAATTTGCTTAACAAATTAGAGATAACTTGCCATAAATTAAATAAATGAGTTTAATTATAAGGGGAAAAACAGCTACAGATAGTTTGAAAAATGGGTTCAATTTACTAAATAACCATTTACTAAAAAAGCTTAGATATCAAACTTTATTGTCGCAACAAAGAACAAATTTGAGTATTTATTATTTTAGACTAAAGTCTGTAATAAAAATCAGTTCTGTTCTTATTGTGAACCGTTCAAAGGCTTGTTAGATGCTCCTTCCCTACCTACCCCCTCAGTGAAGGCAGAAAACTATGACAAGATCTTCTCACATTCATTCATTCATTCATTTATTCATTTATTGGTTTTGTATGCCGCCCACTCCCGGCGGCTTACAATAAAAATGGAGGGGGCAAGTAAGACAATACAACAATTTAAAATACAACAACCATTCATAGTTAAAGTGGGGCGGGATACTTCAACAGCCCCAGGCCTGCCGGAACAGCCAGGACTTAGTAGCTGTAGCCCTAAGCTTATGAAATAACCTTCCAAAGAAGCTCCCTGTTGTTTATCAGGTACCTAAAAGAAAACCCTCTTTTGCCAATATATATATATATATATATATAGTGTCACAACCCCTGGTAAGCCCCAATTATGGGAGGAAGCTAACTGCTTCCATCATCTGTCAATCGGCTCGTCACAAGAGTCCATCACGACAGAAACCCAATATTTTTACTGTTGCCTTTGTTATATTTGTGTTTTTTTTATTTGTGCTGATAAATAAATAAAGGGAGACTAGTATAGATCTATTTCAAGCTATTTAGCTCTCATCGGCTAGCTAATGAGAGCTAAATAGCTTGAAATAGATCTATACTAGTCTCCCTTTATTTATTTATCAGCACAAATATATATATATATATAATTTGATGATGATGATGATGATGTTGTCTGTATATGTCCCTGGGACTATGGAACGCAGGCAGTGCTCACATACCTTGCCCAGTAGATGAGTTTCCAGTAGCTAGCCTAGAGCCATTCCTGTGCCCAACTCAACATTCTGAGTGGAAATAGCTTCAACATTCTGAGCAGAAATAGCTATTATTTATTTTCTATCACATGATTAATACCTACTTTTAACAATAAACTTATTTTTTTAAACTGGGATAGAGCTGCTCCATACAGGATTGCTGCCCAATTTCTGGGTCTTCCGGGACTTACAACTCCTGCTCAAAGTACAGGTAGTAGCTATGAAATGATTTTCCCCAGATTAATCTGGTGCACCAACTGTGCCCTTTCTTAGATTGAGGTTGTTTTCACTTATATCTTAGTCGCTTAGCCTGTAGATTACTGCAATGCATTCTTCATGGATCTGCTTTTGAAAACTACTCAGAAGCTGCAGCTGGTCCCAAATGCAGTGTCATAAGAAATTATGGACCCATTTCTGCTGTATGAGCTGCACTGGTTACCGGTAACATTCAGTGAAATTCAATGTGCTAGTTGTAACCTAAGCACTCCTTAATGGTATAGTGCCTTATTGCCTTTCTCTCATTGTTTATTCCTATTTGAAAAAACCAGACAGAGTAGCCATACTCCAGGTCCTATCTTCATAACAATATCTTCTAATGGGACCTAGATAGCACCTGTGCTTTGGAATAGTATCCCAGCAAAGATTCAAGTTGCCTCAAACTTGCTGTCCTTTAAATAGGTCTTGAAATCTAGCTGTTCCTCTAAGACAGGACTGTCAAATTCCTGGCCCATGGGCCAGATGTGTCATGCACTGGTCACAACCACGCTTGGTTTAGCAAAAGGGGAAAAAGTCACGATACATCATGTGATGCTGCTGTGACAACATGAGTTTGATTCCCCTCTTCTAGGTATTGGGTCAGGAAGGGTATGCCTTGGTGGCAATTGTATTCTGTTAAGTGTATTAGTCCCCCTGCTTTTGCTTTCATTGTATATTTATTATGCTGGTGTGTTTTTAACCGTGACCCGTCAAAACCGCGGTCCACTAAAGCGCGCCCGATTAAAGCGCGTACCTGACGTCACCAGCAGCGCGACAAATAAAATTAACAATAAATTAAAATAAAATTAAAATAAAATTAAAGCAAGCCGATTCACATAAAGGTAAGGGTTAGGTTTAGGTTTAGGGTTAGGTTAAGGGTTAGGGTTAGGTTTAGGGTTACGTTAAGCGTTAGGGTTAGGTTTAGGGTTAGGTTAAGGGTTAGCGTTAGGTTTAGCGTTAGGTTAAGGGTTAGGTTTAGGGTTAGTGTTAGGGTTAGGTTAAGGGTTAGGCTTAGGGTTAGGTTTAGGGTTAGGTTTGGGGGGGTTAGGTTTAGATTTACGTGTTAATTTTAATTTTACCGCTCACAGCGTGCTGTTTTCGTCGCGCTGTGATGACGTCACGTACACGCTTTCGTCGAGCACGCTTTAGTCTACCGCGGTTTTGTGGTGGAACCGTTTTTAACTTGTATGCTGCCCAAACACATAAATTGTATGGGTTATAAATGAAGGGACAATTCCATCCAGTTAATACAAAATGTTATTAGATTAAGTTCAAAGCTGCAAATTTGTTGACATTTGGGAAGAAATATTGAAACAATTGTGTAATACAACACTATAGTAATGTAGTTGACTCTATGAATTACTAAAATGTCCATGTCTGTAACCTTTAACTGGGTGAAACAGTGCATCATGGGGCAATATTTTCACGCATGGTACCTCAAATGAACTAACTTACAGAATGCCAGGACACATCACTTCCATGAGAATGAAATTTTGGAAAGTTTTTGCCATTTCAACACCACAGTGCTCATACAGTGATGTGATCCTCATTTATAACAGTCCCTGATGCCTTCCCACAAGTCAATGGGGAGGCCTGCAGGAAGAAAGCCAATGGGGAACACGTGATTGCGGCTGACAGTAGAAGCACAGCACTGAGTTTAGACTTGCAATTTCCTCCTGGGAACCTTGCAGGGAAGGTTCTAAGTTGCTGGGGTAAGTCTCCCATATCCATACAATCTTTGCTAGTCCCCTCTGCACACACAAATATATCTGAAAGGATGACCCAATGGGTCACATGTTGTCTAGTATTAATTATATTATTTTCAGGGTTGAATCAAAACAGATGCTAGGAATATGAGATTACTATCTTATGTACACTTTACAGGAAAGTATGCTTCATTAAACTCAGCAAGACTTTTTTTTCTAAATCAACATTTATGATGCTGCAATCTCTCTCTGTGTATGGATGTGTGTGAGAGAGAGGTAAGCAAGTGAGTGAGTGTTTGTGTGTGTGTATAAAAATACATTTTATTGCTGAAATGTTGAATTATAGGTGCTTGAAAAAGCAAACATCAACAACTCTTGAAAGTTTCAGAATGCCTTCACAGTAAGAAATCTGAATGCTAAGATCTTTATAACAAGCAATATAACCCAATAATAGTATCACAAATTAATAACAATATCGTATTAAAGATATATTTCACAGTCAAAATTTGTGGTGGGAGATTTCCACATTTATGTATCAAAATTTCATTACAGAATATGAAGTAAATACTGTGGACATGATTCAACCTAAATAGCACTGTTTAAAATGAAGTAATATTTCTAAATGACTGGACTCCAAAAATACTAAACAAAGGTTAATTTGTGCAATAATTAGATTCATGTTGTACATATGTGTACTAAACATTGACATATAACTGGAACAGAAAACTATCAACTAAGCAGAATTACCAACAAAAGAAATGTTTTGAATGAATCAGATTAAGAATATTAAGTTACTGAATATATCAATACAATCTAGTGTCGTTATTGAAAAATGAATGGAAATACAAAATTACAAGGACCTCAGTGTTATTTAAAAATCTCAACAGTAAAGTAGGATAAATATATCCCCAAAAGTTGCCCTGTCTGAGATATTTATAAAATTCTTTTTTTTTAAAAGATGTGTTTAAATGCTATCATTATAATTTAAATAGTGTAACCATAATATAAAAAAAAATAGTTCAGCATTTGCATGTAGAATTAAAGAATGTTCAACAAAACTGAAAGGACAAAACCAGCTACAGAATTAATATCATATTACCCTGCCCTTAAACTCTACTTGGAGACCCACCAGTTATTGACCCTTGCTTTAATTTAAGGACTTTTAAGATAGAAATAGTATGAAGAAGAAAAAAAAAACATACCTACCTGAGGTATACAGTCAGTATAAGCAAACATTGATTTAAAACGATCATCCATGCTTATATGATAGAGAATACACATAGCCACTTGTTTATAATTTTCATTTCCTGGGGGAGAAGGAAAGAAAAACATTTAACAATGAGCATTTATATGAATTACTGAGTGGTGCAATGGCCTAGAGGTGCAGTTCTCGCCTTACAATTAGAAAGTGAGTTCAAACCTAGGTAGCGGCAGATATTTCTCTCTGTGGGCACCATGAGAAAATATCAGTTGCAAACTCTTCACTGGCGACAGGAAGGGCATCCAGGGATGCCAGTAAACACTCCATCCAGTTGTCCCAACTCCACCCTGATACAAGAGATTACAGCAGGGGTGTCAAACTCAAGGCCCGTGGGTCAGATGCGATTCACAGTGGGCTTAGACTTGAAACAGCAATGGACCAGCCCATGTTGCCTCTGCCAGTTCCATTTTCACTGGCAGGAGACTGTCGCAGCCAAAAATGGAGCTCAGGAACCTGTTTCTGCTGGCAGAGCACTCGAGCCACCCCCGACACAAGTGACATCGAGCTGGCCACACATCCTCTGGCCATGCCCACCCCAGCCCCGAGGTCAAACATAACCCTGATGCATCCCTCAATTAAATCGAGTATGACACCTCTGGATTACAGGGTCATTAAAAGAATATATATATTGGAGCTGTCATCTTTCTATAAATATTGGTGTGTGTGTGTGGAGTGCTGGCTTTGTTGCTCTAAGCGGGTTGGTTGGCTGTGTTGTTACATCTTGATTAGTTGATGTAGTTGATGTATGCAGATTAGTCAGTTGTTTCGTAGAAAACCAAGGAGTCGATGAAATACCATGCAAAATCTGCCCACAATTTATACTTGTGGTTTACTTTCCTCATAGGTATTTTATCTTTAGAGTAGGCTAAATGTTGCAAGGATTTTGGTGCTGTAAATTATCAATTATTTCCCTTTTTCTTAGGATTTCCTGTTCCCCAAGATTTGAAAGGATTGATAAAGAGTTGTATACAGAGTGAAGTAGAAAAATAAAATTATTTGTGAAGACCACATAGAAATACTTTAGGCACAATTCAGTTAAATGTTTTGGACTGGCATAAATGTGAATGAAAAGTACTTTACAAAATCTTATTACATTATGGAAAAATTCTATAATATATAAAAATTCAATCTTCAGATAATGAAAATACTTTTGAAAATCAAGCAAGGAAAGTTTCTAGAATACTCACTTTACCTTCATGAGATTCTCAATATTTTAACAAAAAATGTTTCTTGAGCTGTTATTCCTATGTTGTTCAGCCTTACTGAACTACGGTACCTGATTCTCGTGTTTGATAAATGATTTTATTTCTTTTCTAGATATAAAAATGTACTTCAAAAAAGAAAAAAAAACCTAAAAATTTACCATATCCTATTTAACAGCTTAGCACAAAAGCCTTAATTATGATCATAAGTTGAAGACTACTGTATAGCAATAAATCTGAATAATGAGATCATTAATAAATATTGTGTGAATTTCATTCAATTGTCTTTGCATTCATAATACAATTCTGAAATATTTGTTCATTCCCAGATGAGGTCAATTAATCCTCAAAACATCAGTCATTAGCAGTCATAACTGACTATTCTATGTAAGATACTGCCATTATAAAATGTACTCAGTGATTTATAGAAATAATACTGTTTCAATTTGCAGCTGTGTTCATCTGGAACAATTCATCTGGAGTGGAAAAATGTTGTCCCTTGGGCCATTTTCACACCACATTTTCAACAAATTTAAAGTTCCAACTATACATATCTTAGATCTCAAGTTTAAAATTATTTTAAGCTTTTGAACAATAAGCCACAAAATATCAGTTGTGGAGCAGAACTATTTTATTCTGCTCATTAGGACACCATTCCTATAATTTTAAGGCTAGATTTTCTAACTTGGGACTTGTCAACCTTCAAAGGCAATTCGAAGCATCTGACCTAGAGAATGCATTGCAGAGACTGAAAACTCATACATAGATGCAAGAAATGTATGCTTCTGAAGAGTCAAAATGTGTTAAGAGAGAAATGTAGGAGTTGTTTCTTGGTATATGAAATGCTTTCTCTTGCCAACTTCAACCATTCCAAATAGACAATAACTGGATTGACACATGTGCACACACATTATATTAAGCCACAATAGTTTGGTTTTCACTTGGTGTTATGCGTGACTCCAAGTACTATGATTTCTAAACACAATGGTTTAAATCAGCCTTCCCCAAACTCAGTGTCAATTCCCTACCTCTTAGGGAATTGGGGGTTAACTATGCTAGTTAAGCAATTCTGGAAGTTGCCTACTTCCAGAAGTACCTAAGTTGGAGAATTTGGTTTAAGTCTCCTGCTGATTGGTTTAATAGTTTTTAGTGGGTTTCTTATGCTTTTAATTATTTTTATTGCTTTTGTATTTTTCATTTCATTATGTGAGTTGGGTAGCTACATGAATGGAACAAATTACTGTCATATGTGAAATGCCTGCTGAATATTGTCAACTACTTTTTACTTTCACCCAAAGTTGGCATTAAAAATCCAAAAGCTGTGCGTGGCATAGGAAAAAACATTCACCTCCGACGGAGCCTGTTCCCAAATGACAAACTATGGTAAATGTGAAGGGGAAATCAACTACAATAAAATAAAAATTGGAGAGTCCAAACTAATCTGTTCAGAGACTGCTGGAGATTCTTTGGATATGTCCTTGCTGGGCTAGACTGAGTTGAAAAACTAGACTCAGTAGAGAGCATTAGGCGTGGCCAAAGAATTCAGTCTCTGGGCTGATAGACAGAAGTTAACCCATGCTTGGACTCTCCAAGCACCATACAGGAGAAAAATAAAATTCGCAGATTCTACCAAAAGTTTAATGCATCTACAATTCTGCATCACTCTGGTTGCTTAAAGGAAAAAAAAAACCCACACCACTGTCATTCATTAAGATACTGAATTCAGAAATATAATTTCCTTAGAAACATACTGTATTTTTTGGAGTATAGGACGCATCTTTTTGCCTCAAAAAAGAGGCTGAAAATCTGGGTGCGTCTTGTACACTGAATACAGCAATTTTTGCCTCCCGAAACCCCGCCCCTTCACCAAAATGGTTGTGCATAGCTTTTAGGAGGCTTTCAGAGTGCTCTGGGGGTTGGGGAGGGCAGAAATTAACAAAAACCAGGCCATTTTTGCTCAATTTTGCCCCCCAAACCCCGAGCACTCTATAAGCCTCCTAAAGGCTATCCATGCCCGTTTTGGACAAAAAAATGGGCCCGTTTTCATGAGAAATAAGCCATTCTTTGCTCATTTTTGGCCCCCACCTCCACCCCCCCCAGGAGCACTCTATAAGCCTCCTAAAGGCTATTCATGTCTTTTTTTTAAAAAAAACGGTCCCGTTTTTGCGAAAAATGGGCTGTCTTTGGGAGGTTTGCAAAGTGCAAAAACTTTTTTTAAAAATTTGCCTCTTCAAAACTTTGGTGCGTCTTACACTCCGGTGCATCTTATACTCTGAAAAATATGGTACATTAATTTTTGTGGCAGGTACCTCACAAGTTAGATTTCTTTAAATGTGCATAACTGAAAAAAGTATTAACTATGTACTATTCATGTTTTGGAGATAAAAGACTTTGCTGTACTTGTCTTCGAATAAATTATTTAATACTCTGAAAAACCATTTATTTAGACATTGCAAGGAAAGTCACTAGAGATGTCAAAATATCCAAGAGAAGAGCCAGTTTGGTGTAGTAGTTAAGAAGCTGGACTCAAAATCAGGAGACTGTGAGACTTAAGTCCTGCCTTAAGCAAGAAAGTGAGTTGGGTGACCTCGGGCCAATTGTTTTTCTCTCAGCCCAACCCAACTCACAGAGTGCTTGTTGTGGAGAAAATAGGAGGAAATATAATGTCGTGAGTTACTTTTGAAGTAATAAAAATGGGATAACAATCTAATAAATTTTAAAAAATGGGGCAAAGCACTCTCCTGTGAACTTATTTATATTTTAATTGTTTTAATAGTAATTAAGGTTTTGTTTTAAGTGTTTATTTTATTGTATGCTATCAAGTGAAATGAGCAGCTATATGTGCTTGAGAAACAAACAAACAAACAAACATGGAGGGGGAGAGCTGACATAAATGTTGCACATAGTAGCACAAAATCCACCTCCAAAATAAATCTCTTGAATAGTTACCATTGTCTGCAGACGAATTTTTTTTTTTATTCTTCATATGTTACAACCAATTACTGCTAGGAAGAAATAGACACCTCAGGCAACATTCACACACAAAATATTGAAACCAGCTGTAGCAGAACTGCTGTAAGAATGAAGGTTTTTCCATTTAATTGGAAAAACAAGAGGAAACATAACATTTTACTGCTATGAGTAACTTCAAGCAATCTTGATAAGATATTGCTGAACTCTTAAGGCAGGACATATGCTTTCTGTTATGTTCTGCTGCATCTAACTTTTATTGTTTGCTCACTTAATTGGTTTGGGAAATGCATGTTTCTTTATAGGATAAATTAGACTTAATTAGAAAAACACTGCTGCTTTTAATAAGTAACTCCTTTCTCATACATATGTGTAGACTGCTTGCTTAATATATAGTTTTAAACTCAATATGAAAAGGACAAAGTTTTTAAAAAATAGCTTTTGAAAAGACCATTCATAAAAATAACAGTGTTAATAAGGTGCCATACCTGAGACAGAGGAAGAACACAAAACAAAACATATAATAGATTAACATAGCAGGTCTCTTGATTAAGGAGAATGAAAAAATGATACCGATAACATGGAGAAAAGATAAAAATAATTTACAGTAGGGGTCAGAGTGTTCCAATTTTAAAATGTCAATGACAAAAAAAATGTGAAATTTTGAGCTGCTTATCAGAAATAATTCTTTAGAGCCCCGATTTCAAAAAATCATTTACTCTCTAGTAAAATTTTATGTTTTTAAGTAGCACCTTTAAGAACGAAGTCATTTGGAGAGCTTTAATGCCTAAGATGGCACTAGAACAGCCTCCTGGTTTCCAGGCCAGCACCTTAACCACTACACCAAACTGGCTCTAAAATAAATCATAATAAAATCAACAGATTTTACAGATAAAAATATTATTGAATTTACTAAAATATTCTGATACTTGTAGAATACTTATGAGAATATGTCAGGAATGTTATGACAACATAACCAAAGATATTCAGGCATTTAAAGCTAACATGTTAATATGCTAATCAATAGAAAAATATAATTCATAAAATTCTAATAAACAATGGAGCATGATTATTAGGACCAATGATAAGTTTCATAGTGAGAAAAGAATGAAATCTACCTAACAATGCAGTGAGCTTTGGAAGAAGTCCAACTTGCACCATCTTATTTCTCAAGCCTGTATCAAAGGAAAGATTCAGTAAAAGTCTAAGCGTAATATTCAGAAGATCTTCATGTTCACATGGTATCATTTTCACTAGTTTGTCAATTATATCCATTTCAACCTATGGGAGAAATATGGAAAAACACAAAGAGTTTTTGAAATATTGCTAACATTTAACACAAACTGAAGAAAAAATACCTCTTCATTATGTACCAATAATTATATTAAAAAGGCTTGTTGGAATTTCTCATGAATTATTTATAGATTTTCTTCACTCATCAAGTATAGATAATTTAACTAGCCTCAATACATGTTAGTATATTAAGTTGAAATAGTTACATTTTCAATTTTTTCCATTTTCCATTCAATTTCCATTCTGAGAAACTGTTTATCTGCTTTAGGGAACAAGGTATTATTAGTAATACGTTGCTTCAATTTAAGTATATCATGTTCAAAAATGTATCATTTGAAATTACTTTTAAAATTGCATTTTGTTTTAAAAGTGGTATTGCCAAATACCTATAACCACTATCAATTCAGAAGATACATTTGATCATGATTAAAAGCTAAATTAAATATCTCATCTTTTCATTTAGTTGTATACAAATTTACTCAATAAAATTTTAGACATAATTCCACACTTACTACAATAACTAATCTAAAATAATTTAATATATTTTTCAGAGTATAAGACACACCTTTCTCTCCTCTTAAAGTGAATGAAAATTTTAGGTCTTATAGACTGAATACAGGCGTTTTTGGCCTCCTAAACCCTCCATGTGTCTCATTTTTGCCCTTCCCGGCCCCCAGGAGCACACTGCAGTGCTCTACATGTTCCATTTTTGCCAAAAACAAGCCCGTTTTTGGACTCCCAAGCCCTTTGTGCACCACGTTTTTGCCCTTCTGGCCACCAGAAGCACTCTGCAGGCTAAAAACGGGACGTGCGGAGCACTGCAGAGTGCTGGGGGCCGGGGAGACCAAAAATGCAATACACAGAGGCCAAAAACTTTTTCTTTCTTGTTTTCCTCCTGTAAATTTAGGTGTCTTATAGTCCAGTGTGTCTTATAGTCTGAAAAATGTGGTATACAGGATTTTATCATCTGAATATCTGAGACCAACTTATACCAGTTGAACAATCTATTCTATTCCAATACATTATGATATAATTTTCCTACAAGTCATTGTGTCTTTTTAAGAAAGAAACCTAAAATTTCAATTCATTTGCTCCACTTAATGAATTTGAGATTCTTCTGCATAGTAAGGATGTTCTGTCTTTTTAAACAACTATGTGACTTTTCCCCTTGGAAACAAATAAAGCAACAAAATATCTGATTTCTATTTTCAATAGAAAACTATAAAATTATACCATATCATTTTTGTTTTCCATAAAGATGCTGAGTTTCTTCAGAAATGACACAACCAGTATTAACAGTTCAAAGTTATCTCGGTCAAGAGCTTTCACCAACATATGGACAATATTCTTGTTCCTCATCTTCAATTCAGTCCGTGTGTCCTCAGCAAGATTTAGCAGCAAATAAAGAGCAACTGAATCATCAGCAGGCAAAAATAAAACACACAATTGAAAGAGTATGAGTATTCTCTGGTCATTTTTTAATTCATGAATTATTTAAGCATCTGGGCCAACACAAATATCTCCTGTACAAAGTTAAACAGAAAATAATTGCTAAAAAAGAATATACTGGTTTTATTAACTAGCCTGTTTCAGCAAAATGTAAGTTTATTGGAGAACATGTATGCTCTTCCTAAAATAAACTCTAATTATCATAATATAAATTAATATGGATTATCCCATATTTTAATATGAGCTCTTCCTCTTATTATATCCATTAATACCAACTCTTTTGTACATGTACTATATACTGTGTATAACATACTGAACTTAATTAAACTCAAAAGATAAATCAACACATCTGCATTGTCTATCTCAAATGTGTGCTTTTTCTTTCTTCAAAGCTTTTCAAAAACCAATTTTATACATGTCGGCCCTATTAAGTAGTCCAGACCAAGAAACAGATCCAGTGAAGAGCTAAACTATTTTTTTAATTAGAACAGCGGTAATAAAATGTTGAAAGTCTGAATGTGCTACATTTCCCCCTCTTTTATCTTCACTAAAATTGGGGAGGGGAGGGGACAGAGGGCTCCCTGAAACATTTTCACAATTTTTTCTTGGTCATGTTTCCTTTATCTGATTGTTCCTTTGGTAGCATATCTTTCTTCTGAGCAAGGCCGTCCTCTTTATCCACTACAATGCAATGCCTTTTGGTTGTACAAAACGTAATCATAATTGTTAGCGATTAAACCAATAAAAGATTTAAGTGACTTTACTTCTGTTAAACATATGTTCTTCATTAAAATAATAGAAATTAATACATATTAATATTTCAAACATTTTATTTCATTTGTATTTTGAGCAGAAATAACTCAAATTAATTAGCTGCACTTTCAAATTACAATCAGATTACATACTTATAAATTATACTTTAATTAATAAATACTGGGGATCATATTCTTCCCATTCCAGAGTTACTGCAATACTTCCCGACTTTCAAAATACAAAAATTTGTAAGACATATAAGAAGAAACAACAGTATACATATAGAGGATGTGTATATGAACTTTCCTGAGGCTGGTGATTGGAGCTGCTAGCTACAAGGGGGGAGTCAGAGAGACAAAGAGGACTAGGTAGTAGTCCGCGCGCCTAACGCCGCGTGAATCATACATCTATAAACCAAAATAGCAATAATACATTCTGGGTTAGTGCGCTTGAAATTGTGATTTTGTTTTATTTCAAAATGACTGGCTTAGTTCAATTTAATAGCTGTTCTGCAGTACTGTCTTTTGCAGTACTCTTTTCAAATTTGGATACTGTCCCCTTTGTAAACAAATTACTAGTCTACGTAGACAGATTACCTATCTAGAATCTCTAATCTGTGCTCTCCAAGCAGAAATTAGGTGCCCAATTTGGCCATTCCACACTATGGAGATGCCATGCTATCAGCCCCCTCTACCGCAAAGATCCTGCAGGAGAATAGCAGTCTGGACAACCGTGGGATCTGGCACGGTGAGAGCTGTGAACCATAAACACAAAGCTTTTGCTGTGTCCCAGTTGACCTTAATGGGGACACTAAAGAGACAGGTCAAGGTAGTTGTGATA